ACAAATTTTTAGGACATTTTTGATACAAAGTGTCATATTAGCAACTTTATAGAACCATTTAAGAAAGTGTCCTATAAACTCATTTTTTTATAGGATACTTGATTTTATAGGATAATTTTTCAAATAATGTCCTATAAAGTTGCTAATGAAACGTTTTATATTAAAAGTATCCTAAAAAACTTATTACGACGTCAAAAAATGTCATATAAACTTATTACAACGCCTTTAGATATGACATTTTATTTTTTTGGTCCTATAAAAAGGTCTATTATAACTCTTAAAAATTGGGAGTGCCCTATAAATCCGATTTTGTTGTAGTGACATCTGTATATATTGTTATAAATTAAAAGGCACATATAATAAAAATTACTTGATAAATACATCATGATGCATACCTCCTAATTAAACTAATTTAATTACATTAAGCAATTAAGAGCCAAATTTTATGATAGATGGATAAGTATTCTGTTTTCAAAATATTTTCTAATAGAATCCTCGATATTTCAATATAAAATAACAAAAAGTCAAGTGAATACATAATCGACAAAGGTGGCGTTAATAGCTTCAACAAAGGTGAATCTTGTTTATCAAAAAAAAAGTTTGTCCCTTAATCATTCTAAAATCATCTGAATGATTTTGTATCATGAACCTCCCTTAACCATTCAACGCCATAATTTTATTGAAAATAATTACCAAACAATTATATTTTATTTTGCACTATATCATAAAGGCCTCTTAATCATTCTGATAATTTAATCATTCAACAACTGTTAAACAAACTTTTATATTCTTTCTTACGTCTATCACTATCTCTTTTTGAATAACATATTAAAGTAAAGGTAGGAATCATGAAGGTTGATGATGATTTCTATTAATGAAAAGTGTAGTTGATAATTGATAAGGACATATGATAACTTATAATCTATTCATCTAAAATGAAAAAAGTCAAACCCCAAAAATGTCAAACTCTCTTAAACTACAAATATCCAGAGGGATGATAATCTTTCCATGTTTGCATGAGTTGTAATAATAAAAAATACAAAAAATAATTAGGAATACTTAATTTGGATATACTGTATTTTTATAGTTTTAATTATTAATTAAATTGTTTAGATTTATATTGTTTTTAGAAAAGTGTAGTGTAAAAAACTCAATGGACTTTCCTGTTTAAAATGATTAAGTTCTTGAACAATTTTTTTTTTTTGGATAAATATAAAATCATTAGTAATTCTGAAACATACAAAAATTGTGCTATAGTATAAATAAATACAAACCACAAGAGTGGTGTCTGATTGGTTTGAGCTTGGCTTCAAAGGTCAAAAGTACCAGGAGGTCCCAGGTTCAAATCCAAGGAGGAATAAAAATCCCTTTGTGGCCACGGAGGTTCAAATGCGGTGACTTCGGGCTATCTGCAAAACAGGTGATCGTCCTGGGATTAGTCGGCTCGCATAGCGGATTGAATATCCAGTTTAATAAAAAAAAATACATATATAAAAGTTGGGTCAAAATATACAAAAACTTGCAACAAAACATACTAAAAGTAGCACAAAAATATATCAAAACTTGTGTTAAAATATGCACCAAAATTTACCAAAAGTTATGCAAAATTTACACCAAAATATATCAAAAGTATCGTCAAAATATACTAAAAGTAGCACCAAAATATACCAAAACTTGCACCAAAATTTACCAAAAGTTGTGCCAAAATATACTAAAAATTGTGCCAAAATATGAATTATACCAAAAGTTGCGTCAAAATATACCCAAGTAAATGTCTAATATATTTAAATTGAAGGTTGTGGTATGAATTATTTTTCACTTGCTTATTTAATCTATTTCTAGTTGAAATGCATATATTTGACTTTCGTGTAACTCTTCATGGAGTCCAATAGCAATCACATGAGGATGTCTTTAATGATAAATATAGAATGTAAGTAGTAGCTAAAAACAAAATGTTATTTAAATCTGAAACGACCATGGGGGATCGTGGACTAGGGAGGACTATTTTGATAGTTTTCAGGGTTTATTTAATTTGTAGTTTTACCTCTTGTACAGGTTGCAAGTCATATATTTAAGTAATAAAAATATATTTCATAGGTATTCAAAAGTTCAAAGAGTTATTTTACAGATTTAAGAAAGTTCAATAACTTGTTCAAATTGGGTGATTTGCATTTGATCGCTCATATATATATTTATATATAGTTTGTTTCAAATACAACTCATCGTATTTGTACAACCAATGCAACTCAATCCTAATGCGCAGGGGTTTCTATTCTGCAGCCTCTTTTACCCATATATCAATAAATCACCACGTGTGTTAATTTCTAACAAGAGGCACTCAAAACTCATAACACAGTTAATGGTAATAATCCAAACCTATCAATCCTCTTCTGCCCAAATTCGAACTACACAAAAACTCCACTCGAGTATTGATCAAAAATTTAGTCCAAGCCCTAAATTAACGAATACCCAAAACAATAAAACAACTTTCTGATCCAAAGAATTTTTCCAAAGATTTAACATCCATAGGTTCAAAATACATAAAAAAAAAACTTGACTCAAGTTAAAAATGGAGGATAAAAGTCCATAATCATGCAACCTAACTTCTAAACCCTTGAATTCAACAACTTGAACCAAAGACAAAAGTACGAGAAATCTTACCTGGATAAAATATGGAATCAAACATTTTCCTGCGCCTCCTCCACAACACACCCACACACAAATATATGAAATTTCACTTGTATGAAAACTATATATTCTGGAAGGAGGATAAAAAATTAAGGTTCAAATACGGTGACTCCGAGTTATCTACAAAACAGGTGGTCGTCCTGAGATTAGGAGTAATACAATTGTGCGTAGGAGTTTTCATACCCCCACCTACTTAAGACATTAAAATACATTAAAATAAATTTAGTTTATTATTCAATTTTAATCCTTGATATTTTTAACTTTAACCCTTCAACTTTTTAAATACTTTTTTATATATCATTTACGTATTTTTATTTTTAATCTAAACTATAATTACATATA